CCCCCAATTATTTTCTGTGTGGCACAAAGGAATTTGTCTGATCCTTCAGACAAGTTTAGAGAGCCAGCTTGGTGTAGCGGTTAAGAGTGGCGGACTCTAACCTGGAGAACGGGGTTTGACTCCCCACTCCTCCATATGCAGCCAGCTGGGTGACCTTGGGTCAGTCACAGTTCTCTCAGAACTCTCTCAGTCCCACCTACCTCACAGGGTGTCTTGTTGTGGGGAGAGGAAGGGAAGGACATTGTAAGCTGCTGTGAGACTCCAAGTGAAGGGCGGGGTATAAATCCACCCCCCCCCCGCTGGAATATTTGGATATGTAGAATCACACTGCTGTACAAAAGAATGCACTTGCAGTTCTGTGGTTCTAGGAACATGGGGTATTTTTCTAATTCTGATTGGTCATGGAAGATAAATATGAGCACTACCGATATAAGAAGGAAGAAAACTATTTAAACTAATCTAAGTTCTTTAGGCCCCTGACCTGGATGGTCCAGGCTAGCCCTATTTTATCAGATCTCTGAAGCTAAGCAGGATCAGCCCTGGTTAGTATTTGGATGGGAGACCACCAAGGAAGCCCAGGGTTGCTGCAAAGAGGCAGGGAAAGGCAAACCACCTCTGAACTTCTCCTGAAAACCCTACGGGGGCTGCCTTTAGTTGGCTGTGACTTGAGGGCACCTTCCACCACCACCACCAAGGCCTTTAAGAGTTATCAACTTACTGCTACCAATTAATTTTATCAAAAGAAATATTCAGGGTGCAGAATTTGCATTTGCAAAGAAGCGACAGGAACCATACATACTAGTTTAACGCAAAGATTTTGTTGGCCTTTGTTCAACCTGACTTACTTAATTCCTTTGTTCTTCTGCCAGTCATGAGTAATGCTCATGCAATGCCAATTTTGAGTAATGAGTGAAGTTGTGGCATCACTACCTTTTTTGTATGAAACAGCGGCATTAGTGGATCTAACTCCAGATCTCCCATAAAACATGCATTCCATAAACAACCTATACTAACACTAACACTATACTAAGACTACCACTAATGCAAAGCAAGTGCTAAAGATGCCGCTCAATTTGGCATGCCTGCGTTTACAATAGTGAACTACCTTTAAACTTGTATGCAGTACAATCCTATATATCTTTACAAGTTAGTCCCACTGTATTAAATATGGCTTACTCCTAAGTAAGTGTACATAGTACTTAAATGTTTAAACAACAAATAGGAGTTAAACGTTTGAACATACTTAAATGAAGGCACGATAGTTTATATCAAGTCCTTTTCCTCAAATATAATTCACTATTTACACTAATGCAACTGCAATGAAAATCAGCATGACTACCCTAATGTTAAATGGTCAGTAAAGTAAAAAAAGGTTGTCCTAATAGTCATGCCGGCCACATGACCATGGAAAAAGACTTCGGACAGCGCTGGCTCTTCGGCTTGGAAACGGATATGAGCACTGTCCCCCAGAGTCAGATTCGACCGGCTTTCAAGCAAGGGAAACCTTTATCTTTTTATAAACAAAGATAGGGTGGAAAGACAGCATAGTATATCCCGATTTCATCATACCTCAGAACCTAAACTGGGGTAGTACTTGGATGGCAAACCACTTGCCTTGAAAGCCCCTTGCTGGGGTCACCAAAGTCGGTTGCAACTTGACAGCATTTGACTATATACATATAAACAAGGATGCTGCAGATTATTCGCTGCATTAGAGCAAGCATCTTTTAGGGTTAGGCATATAGCAGATCAGCATAAAATCACAAGATTATGTGTTATGTCAACACAATTGTGATGGAGTCACAGACATATAACAGAGGTAGAAATATTTAGAGCCTGTGTGTCAGTCTTTGCAAATGCACATTTCAGTGCCGCATGCTTAGGATGGCAGCCTTAGAGGCTAAAGAAAAACTTTAATAACCAACTTCCATATGGCTCTTTTGCTAATAAGTTAAAGATACTGTCATTCAACGTAATTTTAAACAGGTTTGTCCAGAAGTCCCATTGAATTCAAAGGTACTTACTCCTTAGTAATCGTGCACAGAATTGCAATCTTAGTTAAGTAGTCCAATCAGCTGATACCACCATTAAGAATATACATCGATATTGGCCCTCCCCTTCTGGATGAAGTAGCGGGACTATGGAGTAAATCTTTCCCCTTTAGTAACAATTCATGAGAGTTCATTAAATTTTGTTTAGAATGTTTGATCTATGTTCTGCTAAGATCACAGACTTCAAAATTAAGTATTAATCAAAACTAGGTAGTTATGCTGTAAAACCTAGTGGAAAAGTGGTTGCATCATTCTCTGAAGAGATGGTGCAAAGGTCAATGGGGCTTTCTCCCTAGTAATGTATATTTAGAATTGGTGAAGAAATATACCTTTCAAGAACTTTGTTTGAACTGGCATTGGAAACTTTTGTCCTGTGTAAATTAACATAATGTTTTCAGAAAAGGCATATTTTGGAAACAATTTTCAGTTTAGTTTCATGGGTTGAATAAAGACAACTACTCACCATGGTATGAATGTAACTACTTAGGGTAAGGCAGTTGTCTGTACTACCTTGCCAAGTGGCAAAAAGAATCTCCCTTCCTGCTTCCCTGAAATTCCTGGCCAGATGCAAAAGTGAGACAAGATTTTCCGCACCATTTGACAGAACAACACAGATGAATGCTGACCAAATGATCACAGGAATACCATGGAAATTACCATTTGGGACATTGCTGTCTTTACGGTCCCACAATCAATGGAATATTCTGAATTTCATTTTAATAAACAGCCTGTGTGATCCAGTGGTAGAAAGTCAGACTAGGACTTGGGTTCAAACCCCACACTGCCATGAAGGTTATTGGAGGATTGTGGGGCAGTCACATTCTCTCAGCTTAACCTATTTTACATAGCTGTTGTGAAAATAAAACAGAAAAGAGGAGAATGATGTAAGCTGTTTTGGGTCCTCATTGGTTATCACTGGGCAGAGTAGGAGTAGACTTTGGTGAAAGCTGTATGTTGAGCAGCAGAGTATTTTTAAAAAACATTATTGGTTCATGTTTGTCATTAGTGAAAACTATCGCTAGTATATACAGGGAAATAGTTGAGTTCATATTGTGGAGAAGCTTTTGATTACTCTCTTGTTCCCTAGTTCCTGATGAAATGCAATTAACCCTGTCTGCAATTAGGTTGTAGGACACAGTGAACAGTCGTACATGGCAAAAAGTTGGTAAAATCTCCACCTCAAGAAGACACGCCGAAATCTGACCAAGGCAATTTCAGTCTGAGCCATACGTCTGCTCATAAAACGACACAGGAGCCTGCAAATGTTATCAGGTTTTGGGTCCCCTGGGTAAATTAACACAGTGTTTTCAGCATCTCTGAGATCTCTGGCAAATCAAACACCGAAGCAAGTCTAGTTTCAACAAGTCCAAGTCGGGGTGAGAGGAGCAGGCATTCAAATAGAATGACTGCGCCCACATTTACATCCACTGATTGACTTCCATGGTAGTAACTTCCAAAAGGATAGTTTTTACTAGTGTGTTGCAATAAAAATAAAGAGAGGTCTTGTGGTGCCTACCTTGAAGATGAAAGTGCCACAAGGCTGCTGTTTATTCAATGACATAATTGTGCATTTTTATTCAGAGCCGCCCCTGTGAAGCAATAAGCAGCGGCATTCTTGATGTAACACAAAGAGTTCAGGTACACCCTTTCATTACGGAACGAGCAACAGCCCTCGAGTCGTTTGTGTTCCCCCTACCCCACTGAATGCCACTGTAAAAGTTTTGTCTGCTTAATAATCTCTCTCCTTCCTTCTTAAGACCGACTGTTCAACATCACGCCATTCAGTTCCTTCCTTCAATACTTTTGCTCTCACTGAAACAGTCTAACATTATTGTGTTTCAAGTTCGTCGAAAAGAAGACAGCTAATGCGCTGTGACGGGAGAAATTCCCCTTCGGCGGCTCTACGACCTACTAAAAATAACTTTTTTTCTCACCTTCCTCCAGGCCACCCGAGGGTGGTCGAGGAGGAAGGGAAAGGCTTAGCTTCAACCCTCCCCCGGTGCACGATTGGCACCTTCCCCCGAACGCAGGAGGGTCTCCTTAGCAACCAAGATGCCCCCTCGCCCTAACCTGACAGCTCAAACCACCGCCGGCACCGCGCGCGAGGAAGGCAAGACGACTCCCCCGCCTTTCCTCCCGCCGCTTCGGGCGAAGGGTAAAGCCCCAGACGGGCGACGCGCGGTGATCACCCACTAGCGGCGCAAGGGTTAATTTTCCCGGCCAGCAGAGAGGAGGGAGGAGGGGAGAATGTTGCCAAGGTGACGGCTCGGAGTGCCCCGGATCGTACCACTGCGCAGGCGGCACGGGGAGGAGCCGCAGCAAGACCGGCCCCGCCGTCGTCTGCTCCTCGTCGTCGCTTCCCCTCCCCCGCCCGGCCTGAGCGCGGCGCCGGGGCCCGGCAGCCAGCGAGGGAGCGCGCGAGTCGGAGCCTGCCGAGCAGCGCGGGGGAGGCGGATCCCGAGAGCGGCGGCGGCGGCGGCTCGACAGCGCGCCCTTCCCTCGTCTGCGCCGGCGGGGGCTGGCCAA